GTGTGTGTGTGTGTTGGGGGGACAGGGCGGCGCAAGACACCTTTACTAATGCATAGCCTCATATATAAATATATAAGAGGAATGTGAGAGCTGCTGAGCTGGAAACAGAGAGAACAGAAGGGGAGAGACAGCAGAGAGGAGATGTATAGAGGTGAGAGGAGGGACAGTTGTGTGCGTGTTTGTCCTCTCAGTGGGGGAGGAAGTCGAGCAGGACAGTGTGAGTGATGTGTGACTGTATTGTAAAGGGGAGGACATTTAGTGCGACACCACTATGTGACAGAAGGATGAGTGGGAGGGCAAATCGCTCTCTTTCTCTCCGGATCACACAGGCACACACAAACAGTCCTGCTGTGTCCTTGCTGTGTGTGTGTGTCTGTGTGAGTGTATGCAGATACAAATAACTATAGTGTACTGGTTTCTTTAGTGACTGCCTCATTTCTCCTTGGGTTCTCAACCCATTGGGGACTGACACAGAAGGTGAACAGAGGAGAAACAAGACCACAGAAGGTGCACAATCTAATTTGGCACAAGGCAAAGTGAGGCATTTGTGTTTTCACATGACCTCTCTTCGAATATAATTCAGCCACACACACACACACAAACATCCCAGCACCAAATACAAGCAGTCTCCTAATTCCTGACTACATACTGTATGTGTATGTAGTGTCAAAGTCTCAAAATTAAGTAAAAGTCAGTATGCATGCTGAAAAACACTTGTTTTTGTCCCACAATGTAATGCACAACCTTTTGTCTCTTTGTGAAGTTTAATTGACAGTGACATTTTAAAGTTGCAGCCTCACTACCTGTTTACATACTATCTGCAAAAATAGTATACTATAAAAATCACTATATTAGTTGTAAATAATGTATGTAAAAAGCTACAATGATGGTGGTGGCGTTGCTTAAGTAGAACATCTGGTGAGTGGGGACATTTAATCACAGAAATCTGAAAGCCGTTCCAACAATTTATTAGTGTGGGGATTTAATCAGAGATGGATGGATGATTATTTTCTATGTACAGGAAGGAAAACATTAAGAAAATATCACAAATTAGAACAGTAGCAGTAAACACAGGGGTAAATTAGTCATCATTATTCTCCCTCACTTCTATTAATGCATTCATAATCTTGGCACTTACTACATCTTCAGGGTTTACTAAACACAGAATCTAATATAAATGCAATACAAAACAATCCATTAAACACTTAAAGTAAATCATGAAACATTAACCAAATCAATTAAGATTGTAAAGGTGAAAAATCCTGATTTTGACTTACATAGGTTGTCTCTTTCTTCAGCATTTAGTCATGGAGGGAAAAGGCTAAAAAAGCCTAAGAAGAGGAGGTGCATGTGGGGCTTAGTGGAAAACTGTCCATAGATTTTAAGTATGGTGAAAACTATGGTGACCCTAAGCATGGAGACATGTGATTTAACACTGTATACAATCTGAATATAGCGTAATATAGAGAATCTATCTTAAACCTATCTTTTAGTAGCATTGCCATTGCTGTGATTTTTGTATTAATTAACACAGATGAGGCCAGTGAGCAGTTAAAAGCAAAAAGTAGGAAGCAGTATGAAATATACTGTGTGGGCTAACATGACACAGTCACTTTGTAATGGAGATTTAGTCTCATGTATCTGATAGCAGTGATGTCCTAATGAGATTCAGTATAGAAGATAATTCTGTGCTCTGACCCAATTGTTTAGATGCAAGAGGATTTGTTATCACGCTGTTATCCAATAATCTTCCACCCACTGCGTTCACATTAATATACAATCAGGCTATCTGATGAGATTATCACCCGCACAACCAGATTAGGTGCCTCTGAGCAGATTACCATCTTGACCGTCTTACTGTGAACCAATCACCTCTGCACACTTGTGTGGTTGTGTGTATTTGGTGTACAATACAATCTTCATATTGAAAGCCTTTGTGAGTGGCCAGTGGTGTGTGGAAAGCATGGTCGGGGATCAGTGGTTTGAGTGTATGTGTATGTGTTGAAGGGTGTTAGTGTTATTACATGGCCTACTGCGCATGAGACAGAGAAATAGACAAAAGCCGAGTAAACCACGGGTCACAGCCAAGGGGACAGAAGAAAGGTTGTATGTTTATATAATGTGTGTAGAGGAATGACAGTATATGAGCTGTGATGTGTGTGTGTGTGTGTGCCCTGATGTTCAATGACAGAATTATGACTTTCTCTCAAGCTTTTGTGTATGTTGTTGGAGAATGCAGAGTCCAAAGGCTCCATACAAAGCAGCTGCATGGATCAAATCTCCTCAGAACAGATATGGACAGAAGCTGCTGAAAAGGGTGTTTGTTTGTATGTGGTACTGTGGAAATGAGAATATGTGGTGCATGGCATTGTGCGGTTACGTTTTCAGGCTTTTTCCAATCTCAAATTGTGCCGTCTTTGATTCCTGTGGGCTCTGTGATCTAAAGTAGGCCACAAAAACACCCAGAAACACATTCACATGCAAGAATTTCACACAGTTCTCAACTGTCTTCCTCCTCCGTCTGTCTTTCCTTCTGTCCCTCACTAGGCTACCAGATTTCCTACCGCTTGGACAGCAGGGACCCTCAGCGCTGGACCACAGTGGAAGTGGGCTCCAATGCTCGACAGTTCACCGTCACAGGTCTTTCCCCTGAGCAGGCCTATGTGTTCCGACTCACCGCTCGCACCGCCGTGGGCTGGGGCGAAGAACAGGAAGCCCTGGTTGTTACCACAGAACGTAGAGGTAAAGGACACACACACATACACTTAAGTTTTGCATGGTGTCTGGTTTGCTTTCATAGTTGTTCCTCCAGCCATGCAGATGTTAAGCGCTCCTGTTAAACCTTAATAGGATCCTGTCCCTTATGCTCTCTCAAGCTGCCGCAAAAACACAAGGTGTTTGGATTTTACGTGGAAGATTTGGTATTTGTGTTTTTATCTGTGCTTTTGTTACTGGTTTAAAGTGGGCGGTTTCCATGCTCTAATCACAGTGCAGCAACATTTGAATCAAAACCTGATGATGTGGGGTTGTTTGCTTACGTTGCCTTGCCTGGGAACCAGATGAATCTGTCAAGCTGATGATGGTTCATTTGTTTCATTCATTTGTTTTCTCAGATACATCCAGCCACCCTTTCATTGGAACAGCTTGGTCAATCATAACCGTTTACTTAATATGCAGTGGGTTTTATACTATGATTGAGTAGATAGATAGGTAGCTAGATAGATACTTTATTTATCCCGAGGGAAATTCAAGAGAGTTGCGTCACTCGTCCAGATTTCAAAAGTCACATGTAGGTCCATCCTCATGAAACTCAGACTGTCAAACTAGGCAGTGTTGATTAATCAAGATTCTGTTACTACATTGCCTATTTCTTAAATGCTTTCAGAGGGGCACCCTGGTAGAGCTGGCACCCCATGTACCAAGGCTGAGTCCTTGCTTCAGCGTCTGACCGTTGGCCCTTTGCTATGTGTCATCTCTGTCTCGCTCTCTCACCCTTTCCTGTCTATCTAAACTGTCCTGTCCCCCCAAAAAAAAGTATAAAATAAAGTTGAGAGAGAAAGTTTGTGACCAGTCGCCATTTTTTCCTTCAATAAAAAACCAAGCACCGACTCAAATTGTCGTTCAGCGCTACGTCACAGGTTTCATCTGATCGGGTGTAGGTCTATCCAGTTGCGTCTCATTTTGGCATTTTGGTCTGCGCCTGTTAATAGTTAATAATCGTAATTCCAGGCTAAATAATACCAACACTGTCAAATTATTACTTTCAATATTTACTGTCACTATCAAATCTTATCAAACCACACCCCTACAGTCCTGATGAAGCAGATTTGCAGAGTTTTTGAGAGTTTATCTCTCTATACAATACACATCACTCCGATAGCTTTTGCTTGGTTCAAAATTCTATATAAAATTGTGACAATTTCAATTTACCACTTTAGTGAGCAAGCTTCTCTCTTCTCTCTTATTTCCAAAGGGATGTTGAGTATTTCTTCCCGGAGGTAAGCTCTGAGTAAAACAAAAAGTGATCCGTTGTCTTTGCAACAGCCGTCTTTGCAAGCAATAATACCACTGGTAAATGCAAGGGGTTTGGTGAAAAGTTGTCCAATGTTACAGTAAAATGCAAGATGAAATCAAGTTTTCAAGGGTTTTAATAGGCCAATAACACTTTGACTCATCATAGCAACAGTTATAAATGACTAAAGGACTAAATGTAACAGAGTCATTAATGTTATTAGTTGCACTTTTGTGCTTTTCCTGCTGTGCTGAGTTGAGATGTGAAAAGGCCTGTAGGGATGAACAGTATGAGGTTGATGGGTCACTGATGGGGGAGTTTGGGGACAAACTTTACAGAAAACTGCCATCTCAAGTATGTCTGAGGCACAGAAGATTAAATTTTTTTTTTTAAACATCAGCTCTTCTCTCTCTTTATATTGAAAGAGGCAGAAATCGTAACAGTATAATTTCATTCTGAAACAGTATCGAACCACACGCTAATGGAACCAGTATAACAAATGTGTTCATTTTGTCCCTATATAAAAATGAATTCTCTACATTGCTGGATAATTCAACAAAAATAATAGAGTGGAAGCTTGGAAGCTTTGACTAATGATGAGTAAAATTTGCTTTTTCATTTTTGCCTTTTTTATACACTCCCATTATATAAGTATCATGTATCACGTGTGGCATTTGCACCAAAGCAATGTAATAATTTGTATTGGAATTCACATTAAATTATAATAATACATAAGGGAATTCGATTTGTTAAATAAACCAGATTATACACGAAATTCTGTAAATGAGAGAATTTTAAGCAGGAGCGACTTGATTAATGTTATTAATTTTACCTGTGCTTTTCAAAATGTTTGCCATCAGGAAGGTATATTGCAATTATTTTGTGGTTATTTTGTCCTTTCTTTTCAAATTAACTTTCAAAATGGTCAAAGATTGGACTTGGTCACCCATTATGCTATTTCCTACAGTAATGCCAGTGTAGAGTCTGGAAAGGTCAGGTGAAGTTTTAGCATTTTAGAATTTTATGATCTCTGCAGACCTACTTAGAGGTGTAATGAGTTGTAGTTGATGTGAAGTCCTTGCAGAGATAAAGTTAGGGAAAGAAAAGCAAACAGGAGCCTCCGGCGTGGAGCTCGGACGGGTTATCAGTACTTAAACAACAAGTAGTTTGTGGTTGGACATGCAGAGTTTATTGTTACTGTGCACTAAATATCAGCACAAGATTAAAAGTATGACCTTTTCTGTGTGTGGGGAACATTTTACATACAACATAAGACAAAATGGCATTTTAAAAACTTTAGTGGATGAAGAGCTGCTTGCCAGTAACTATAGATATTGAAATCACTAGGTACCAGCCCTCCTGCAGGGGCAAAATGAGAGTCAGGAGTTGCAAATACTTCCTCAGGGTCTGTGCAACAGTAGTTCAAAAGACAATTGTGACATTCAGTCTGCAGCAAACAGAGCAAATTTATTTAACTTGCTGAGTAAGAAAACAAGGAATATTAGCCTTTCTCAACTCAACTGTCTTACAACACTAGCTACTTTCTCATAGCACATGCTCTGTTGTGGGCGGGTGAAAAATGCACAGTTAGTAGGTGAGAAAGAGAATGAGACTGGCAGTGTGTTGAAATAGCAGCGGAAGTCTTTTTTGCCAAAGGAGAGAGCAGAAAGCAAGATCTGAAATTCATAAATCTTAACTTCTAAAGCAAAGTAATTACTATTGATCAATAGTTCTATCAGCATTCTGCAGTCATGGTAATTCTTTTTCTCTTTTAGGCTGGCAAAAAATAATCGTAGGGTATAAACTGTGAAAATAACAGGGATTTTAAAACACACTCAAACTCTCAGAATGACAGCCCATGCCTATGGCAAGATGTAGGAGGTTGAGCAGTGACAGTAACTCTCCTAAGACAGTTTTGTCTCCAAAAACCTGTAACAGAAGTTTATCCTCTAACACACAGTCAGTGGCCAAAAAGGAAGACTTTTACAGTGACTCGACTTTTAAACAGGTAAAGTAGTTTTTGAGCAGTGCAGTTCTTTTTCCTTCAATTTATAAACAAACAAAAAGTCGAGTTTATTTCCTCCTCAGATTCAAAGGTTCTGATGCTTTTATCTCATCTTGTCGAGACTTTTGCAGGTCTTTCTCTTCCTGCTTCAGTCAACTGCTTTTATGTCCTCAGCTCATTCAGAATAGATGAGTGCTAAATGAAGATTCATTACATGAAATACTAAAGTAACACAAATACCTTGAAACATATACAGTTAAACACAGTTTAAAATTAACAAGTAATTGCTTATATTCCACTTTATTGCATGTAGTGTATTTTTTTATTATATATTTTTATACATCTATTATATTTTTGTAATATTTTATTTTATTCTTTGCTCTATGCACTACATTTTCCCCTCTGCTGCTGTGCCAAATTTGAATTTCTCCTACAGGGGATCTTATCTTATCATATATTAACAAATGTACACATTATTAGACAGGGAGATTTTAGATTTTAATAAGGAGATTATGATTGGTAAAATATGACCTTCATTCTGAGTATTTCAGAGGTTAATCTGCCAGACCTGTGTGTTTACATGTGGAAATACAGGTGATATTTTTCATGAAAGATTTTGTGACTGAACGATGATAAGAGAAGGTCATACAGTGTAGTTTACACTGGAACAAACAGACACAAGATGACAAGAGATGCCTAGGAAGGCAACGTTAGGAAGACAGTAAACAGCAGTAAACAAACAGCAAGAATCAAATTGAAAAGATGGATTTTTCCTAAAATGACTGAAACTCTGTGAATTAATTTACCAAAAGACCCAAGGTCACCCTTTATGTTTACTAGGATGCAATTTGGTCCTACAGGTTGTTAAACTGTAACGCATTCATAGCATAAAATGACCACATTGTTTAACTGTGTTAACTGAAGCTATAAGCTATAAAAGTCAATACTGCGGATCCGTCATACATATAAAGTACAAATCTCATCAATCCAAATGAGAGTTACAACATATTCCCAAGTTGTATACTGCAGTGTTTGTCCTGTGAGCCAGAGCATAGCCTGGGAAGGCTGACTGTTTTCAGTGTGGGCTAAAGATATTACTAAAGATGTGTTTTTATTGCTACCTGGGGGGGCAGCGGATATGACCTGTAAACACTGATATGTTATCACCTTAAATGTTGATATGGCGAACCTGTTGATCAACTCATCTGGCAGTTATAGAGTGATGTTTGTGTCCACCTGAATGTAACTGCAATATTTACACTATTTTATCTATTTTCTTCACCTGCTTCAACTCCTGAGGAAAATATCTGATTCTTTTAACCAAAATGGTAAAGCTGCAGGGCCGTAAACACCAAAACTTCACCAAGTTCACTGAAAGATGATGAAATGCTCAATATAGGCTGAGGTGATAATTTTCTGTGGGTCAGTATAAGCGGCACATTACAGTTAGTCGTTTGATCCATTTTAAATTATTGATTATAGCAACTTTTAATATGTGTATATGTAGACTTTTAAAAACGTCAATAATCTTTATTTAATAATAATATCGCAGCCTGCAGCAGGTAACGTTTTAACATATTTGCTGAGAATTCTGTATACCCTGACAGTAGTATATGAGACAGATAATCTGTTGCAAAGCGTCTTCATGCTTCCAACCCAAAGCGTCAGTATTTGATTACCTGAGAATGAGACTCAACAATCGACTATCTTTCTCAGCTCTGATTGGTTGTTTTTGTCCAGGTGCAGTGGATTCCTGCCATTAGGAGCGCTAGGAGGAGCCAGAGGAACCAGATTTTTTCACAGATTATCTGTCTAAAGTTCTACTGTCAGGATATAGTGAAAGTGTCAGCAACCTACTGCAGTTTTAATATGTCTTATTAGTATTATAAGTACTCTTGAAGCGTCTGTTTTTATGTGTGTGATTCAAATTTATTATAAGAACATGTGAAACATTTAGCAGACATAGGTTGTATTAGTATAACAGTCTGTAAGGAGGGTAGTGGCAGGTAGTGCTGAAGTTTGACCGCTCACACTTTTGAGCTGAGAAGAGCTATCACACCAGAATGAAAGATCACTTTAAAAATAAATTTACAATGGTGTCTCGGTAGGCTAACGCATGAATAACTTTTGGTTTGAATGTAGCTTACAGCCTTTGATATATGTCATCCCTGATCTCTCCAATTTTCTCTTGTCAGCCGGCACCATGTATGTCTAGTAAAGCATTGAAATGCTACAAAAGTCCTTATATTAAAATGTGACAGCGAAGTGAATTTTTATGAAAGCCTGGATTCATGATGTCAGATATTCTATTTGGAGCAATCAGTTTGTATAGCAGCATTTTAATTGGATCAGATATCATAATATCAGCAGCATCATTATCAGGATTTCTTTAGAATAGAATTCAGTGGTTCTCTGTTCCACTTCAGTAACATAATGGCCCATTCTCACTATGAGATAGACAGAATAGCCTAATAGAGATTTCTTTCTGATGATGCTGAAGAGACCAACTTAATCCCTAGAAAAAGAAAATTGGCTTTTTGAGTGTACGTGTGTGCGTGTGTCCCTCCAGAGAGACTTATCTATGCTGATTATTGTCTCTAAGAGGGTGATAACTGATAAGGTAATGGACAATGTACAGTAGCATATTTAGCAGAATTCATCCCCGAACAACCATATCTTTCCTCTCCTCTAGTACTAACGCCATCTCTCCTTTCTCCGATACTTCACTTCTACCACTCTCCTCTCCTCTCCCTTGTGTAGCAGCAAACAGTTGTGTAAGTGCTGGAAGGGCAGCACTTCTGACAATTATGAGTTTATTATCAGAACATGATCTTAACCGTAGAACGGAACAGGAGGAGAACAGACAGGGAGACGCAGATGGTATCAGAAAGAGGGAGAGAATAGTCAAATCTTTAAGGGACTGAGGAATAAGTGCGAGAGGGAAGAAGGGAGGCAAATTGATTTGACTTAAATTACTTGTGATAAGGATGAACGAAGGAAGGCAAGCCTGTGTGTGTGTGTTTGTGTGTGTGTTTGTTGACTGTGCATGTTTGAGAACATAAGTGCAGATTAATTAAACTTCAGAGGGAATCGATAATGCTTTTATTTCTAGACTTAATCGATAACGTGATGCTCCTGAAATTAAACAGTTATGCCCCCAACCCTGTGTTTTTGTTTATGTGAGCATGTGTGTGCACACGTCTACTAATCACATAGCTTACTGCCAACACAGTTGTACAAAGATACTGACTCCCAGAGCCATCTTTCATCTTCTAATTGAATAGCAAAGACAAACACACTCACACAAACACACAGAGATACACACACATACAGGCAATCTGTTGAGAAATTGTTTCTTTGATGGTGCAGTGGTTAGATGTCTTGTTTCATTTAAACATATGCATGCACTGCAACAGTCACACTGATTCATATGTGATGCAAATATAGGCTGTGCATGTCCTGTCTTACAAGGTATTTGCAGCATATGGTCCATGATAGTCTCTATTTGTCCAGGTGACAATTCATTTCAACATAGCTACAGATATGAAGCAAATTAGGAAAAATGTGAATTAATGAGTGGAGAAACATATTGAATGCAGATGTTTCTATAGACAGAGTCCGTTTGTTCCAGCTTGTTTACATGCATTCATGTAGTATCCAGGTCACAGTCATCTCTCTGCAGTAAACAGATTTTTTAAATTATGGGTTTTTCCAAGCTGGATTTCTGCTTTAGAAAAGTGATTTCTTGGTCATGTATATAAGTGGCCAGGTCTCTAATTGGCTTTTTACGTCTATGCATGTGTATGACAAAGACTTCAGACAGAAAAGGTGTCCCTGTATAACTGTGACAGCAGAGCAGATACTAATATCCAAAGTCAGACTGAAATGGAAACTAACACAAAGAAGTCTGAATATATTTCCACCACTAAACATCTAACTATTTGTAAAATTCAGACACATTCACGTTGTAAAGAGAAGCAGTGTCAGTCCCCCAACACACACACACACACACACGATATCACTATTTGTAATAATTTATAACTTTTGTAATACCACAGTCTTTAAAAACTCACTACTATTACTCATTTAATTTCTGTCGGTCACATACTGTGGCATACATTTACTTTGTATGTATTAGCATATATTGTATATATTTTATTACTATAAGGTACATAGACTCTCATTATATTTCTATTTCCATTTTAATTTTTTGGTTTTTACTTATATGCATATACCTATATATACATTTCCATTCTATATATATTGTGTGAGCACCTTGAACAACTGTAACAAACAAATTCACCCCCTGGGGATCAATAAAGTATTTCTGATTCTATTACGTTAATATAAGTGCATTTTCTGGAGACTTGAGCTTGGAGATAAGTGTGTAAATGTTTTGACCTTTTTTCATTTTCTGTTTTTTTTAATCCAGCACCTCTTTGACTCGTGGTAATGTGCAGTGCTCTGTCCTTTAATTTGTCACCCATCTGTATAAAGCTCTTTACAAAGTCTCATGAATGGAAATACACACACACACACACACACAACTACTAAATTAATAAATAGCATACAGTAATTTGATGAATGAATGAAGGTTCTTATCCTTGTCACATCACTTTTTCTACCTTCTCTCTTTCTTCCCTCTCTCACCTCTCCCCTGCCTCGTTTGTCTCTGCTCACCTTCTTTTTATCTTCCCTATTTCCGCAGAGCGTCCCCAGCCACCCAGGAAGTTGTCTGTTCCTCAGGACGGAGTTGAATCTCGCCATGTCCGCCTCCACTGGGTGATGGGTAGCTCAGGCTCCTCCCCTCTGAGGTACTTCACTCTGCAGGTTAAGGAGCTGCCCAGCGGGGACTGGAGCACACACGCCGCTGACATCTCGCACAACGTGACCGCCTGGACCGTTGACAGGTACGCATGTACACATATGTACGGTCATACACATATCAAATCAATTCAGGTTTATTTATATAGCACATTAAAAACAATCAGAGTTGACCAAAGTGCTGAACAAATTAAAGTGCACGGCACATCAGGAAAAAAGGCACAAAACAATGATACACATATATCTGCTTATATGGCAACAGTGTAGTAAATTTTGAATGCAGATTAACTGTTCACTAAACCCTTCCCATAAACAGGTGATTGCCTGATCATAGCTTAGCAACTGTAACTACAGCCTGTCAAGCTTTGTATAGTATTTGTGTCCTGCTATTCTACCGACAGTAATAATAACCCAGTTTTACTTAAGTGAAGCCTGACACACTTTGTGGGTTACAGGTTACATTAAAATATATATAAACAGCTCCCGTCACATTATCCACTGTGTAGTTTTTCCTCACTGTGTGGAAGCCAGTCTTGGATCAGAGTGTAGGCTAACATTAGCATCTCTGTCCGGCTATATTATTTACTTATCCTAAAAGCCTGTTGTGACCTCAAAAGAGGTTTATTTTTTTTTTAAATACAAACAATAGTGCTTAAATCCAACCTCTGTCTCGCTTGTCCATGTATGTAAGCTAAGCAGCTCAACTGGTTTTAAGAATAGAACAGTCTGACTTTTTCCTCATCATACTTATAACAATAGGATTAACTTGCTCTCTTTATTTCCATGTCTCATCACCAGGATGCTGACTTTTTGCCTGGGACCTGTTTTCGCACTTACCGTCTTTAAGCACAATCTCATGTATGGAGCCTATTCAAGATGGTTTTAGACTCAGCTTCAAATATTAAAAAGTGGACAGTGGGGACGGCATGATGACGTTAACATTAGCTTCATTAGCTAGCTAGCTACAGCTGATTGTCATTTCAGCCGACAAAGTTGATGATCGCCGATTGTCTACCTCTGTCTTAAATCAAGGACCCATTGTTCCAAAAATTGCATTGCAAATATATGAAGTGGTAAAGCTGTTGCTGCATATGTGCTGTGCAAGAACAAAAAGCTTGACAAGCATAGCAACAGTATCTAAGGAGGGGGGGCTAGTTACAGTATAAGGCCATCTGAAGTATCCTTGGAAAAAAAAATAGGAATAAAAATTCCAGAGCCCTGACATTTTTGTTCACCATTTGATGCAAATCTTGTAGTGTTTATGTCTGTCCTTGGGGAGAAGAGTGGACAGAGGGTAGAGCTGTAAATTGTCAAAGCAAACAACAGAGAATTAGAACACAGAAAGAAAAGTTGTATTTATTTAGCACATGATGTACCAAAAAGGTTTGTGGAGCGAAAAAAAACCCCACAAACAACAAAAAACCACCAGGGAGAGCAAAGTAATCATAATCACTGCAGAAATGTGGCGGATCTCAGTCACCTAATCACACAGGCACAGCAGGAACTGCTCTCTATCCTTTTCGCTTAATACCTTTTTTTTTCCTCACTCTGCGTTCATGCTTTTAAGTTTCTGTGTGCCGTTTGCTCATTGTCTCTCTCTACAACCATTTTTACATTTACCTTACCCCTCTTGTTGTCACCACCTCCCTCCCTCCATCCATCCATCAACAGCCATTGCTTTCAAAAACCATAAGGCACGTATTTTTTCCTTAATTCATCCTCAAGCACCACATCCACTCATCCCCTGGAAGAGAGCGTCATTGCATGCCTCCTTTTTCCATCCCTCCATCCTCTTGTCCCTGGTGAGACTGTCATTATGGCAGCAGGTGATAGTGGTCAGACTGGATGGCCACTCCAACTTCCCTCACAGCCTGAGTAGCAGATCTATGATGAGGCTTTACTTGTGTGTAGTGTGTGTTCCCAGCGCGTGTCTTCTGCTTCGTGACTGTTTGTGCGCACTCTGTTGCGAGCTATCACAGGGCTATTTGAGATGCTGAAGAGTGTTCTCGCAGTGTGTCTGCATCAGCCTGTTTCAACCTGCCTCAGGGAGAGTCTATCTGCCATGATGGTGGTGCTGCTGTTGTTGTTTTGATGCTGTTTTCGAGCTCATTCTACCACTGAATGCTCTCATTACGACGCCGGATGGAGGAATTAGCTTACATCTCCACATGCCTTACACTCATACTTACTTGTTATCTATCCTTAATTGTTGTTTTCCACCGAGACATCTTTGGAACCAAAACATTGAAGTCCCCGGGCTGATGCACACATAGACACACACATACAGTATACACACACTTTCAAACACTGTCCTTAACATCCTCCCTGTGCTGTTGGTTCCCCACCCCTCTTTGAGCTCGGTGCCTTTGATGTTCTATTCCTACGATGCCCACAACCCCATAGGGCCTTTTCTTGTCCCTTATTGGGCCCGGCTCATTATTATACAAGAAGACACTTGAGCAGTTCTCCTGTCGCCTGCTGAATTTCTATCTGGTCCTCTGTAGTCTGTGAGGCACTCGGTAAATAAAGTCTAGAGATGGACCTTTGTATCTATGTGTGAGCAGTGGTAGAAGGGCAGTGGAATTACTTCTTGTTACAAATTATTAAATTGCTCTTGTTAACTTTTGTTAATAATAGGTTAGATCAATGAAAAATGAGGAAAACCGACTGTCCTTTTTCAATTCTAATTAAATTTCCCACGGTGTGCAGGAGATAGTATATTTAAACTATTTGCATGCTGTAAGGCACCATAGCGGAAACTGGTTCAGGTAGTCCCTAACAATGGGTGCGTGCTTATTGGGCTGATTGTAAGTCGCTCTATAGTAAGTGTTTTCAAAATGACTGATGTATATTGTTATTTTGTTGTTAGTAATACATTCACCTTGCACAGAGGAGAAATGCAGATAAGATGTTGTGGTAGTATGGCAGTAAAAATACTTTGGCAGTGGAGACTATTAGGAAAGGTGTAAGATTATTATTATTCAAGACCTTGTCTGCTCTTCAAAGGCCACTGAGAGAGCAAAGCATGTCTGTGAGGGGAGGTAAAAGGAAGTCATTCCCAAAGTATTAAAGGTACACAGTGGATTTTTTTGACCACATGTGGTGCTGTAGAACAAAGTTTAATGAGCAGGTCACTGTGTTGTTTTTTGTATATTGCATGCAACCTTTTCTGTGGTAGAGTAGGAGGAGAAAACCACAAGCTGGTGTAAACAATGCAGGGTCTTACAAATGTCTGTTGTTTCTTGAGGTCATACAGACTGACAATCTTTAATGAGAAACCTTGAGTGGTTTACCTGTGGTTTGGTTTATTGGCTGAATAACAAATGCAAGGCATCCATTGGTTAACTATTAAAATTAGATTGAAAACATACTGTGAATCTTGCATGAGGATTATGATACGACAAGTTCAGTTGCCTTTCGGAAAATTTAAATGATCCATTTCATCAATGTAGACCAAAATACTGTCAAAAATATATTTTAAATAAAGTATAAATATCATGTTTAATGATTAATGAATGCAAATATAAAAAAACCTTTCTTCGGGTAATAGGATAAATGGATTTGAAATAAATAATAAGGATAGATAGATAGATAGATAGATAGATAGATAGATAGATAGATAGATAGATAGATAGATAGATAGATAGATAGATAGATATTTTGCGTCATGAGTATGTGTGTGTGTTTGTGTCTCTAGGCTGAAACCCTTTACATCATACAAGTTTCGGATGCTGTCCACCAATGACGTAGGAGACAGTGTCCTCAGCAAAGAGACGGAGGCAGTTACAACTCTGCAGGATGGTGAGAGACTGGGAACACTGATGGAGCAGAGGAGGAAAGAAGGAGGAAGACAAGGGAATATGTGGCAGAAACATTTCTTTATGTCTTTTTCTTCCTCACTTTTTTTCTCTGTGTTTTCTTTTCAGTGCCTGATGAGCCTCCAGTGATCCTCGCAGTGAAACCAACAACTACTACCTCAGTCCTGGTGCAGTGGAAGGTATTTTTCAGACCTCTAACACAACAGTGATTCCTGATACATTATATACAGACCCACATAGCAAAACTGTGAGATCAGATTAATCATTTACTTGGAGAATGAGACCTCCGCAGATTTATTGTATGCAGTGTTTCTACATGTTTTGTGTGTGTTTTTGTGTCTGTGGATTCAATTATCATTATTTATTGAACCAGGAAAGGTCAGAGGGCAGCACAGACAGATTGGAGGGACAGCGAGAGGGAAGGACGGACAGGCGGAGGGACAGTCTAGGGGAGAGAAATGATCAACATCTTAATGAGGATACACCAGCAGGAGAGATATTAGAGGACAAGAGAAAGAGACATCAGCAATGTACAACAACTGAGGAAAAAAGCAAGAAAGGGGAAAATATAAGTGGTTTAGAGCAACAGTGACATGTGAATAGATGGTAAATACAGCCTGGCTACTTCACTGGTTGTCACTCTTCCTCTTCTGTTTGGAAGTGTCTTCTCTCCCTCCTTCTAGCCTTGTATCAAAGCAGAAGGAGGCAATGAAAAACAAAGTCACCAGCAATTTCATCATCCTTTACAAGAGTGCCAAACCCACTGAAGCATCACTTTGTCTGCGCGGGTTACAGCCAGACCAATTCACCAGGCCTTTAAAGTGGACTGCTGATAAAATACTGATCTGCCAGCCTAACGGCCTCCTGTCAGTCAACTCGCTACACCAAGAAAATGAAAATGAGCGCAGTGCAGAATTGGCAGGAGTTTCTTAATGAGAAATGGACTGTTAATTCTTCTTTAAATGTGTCTGTGTGCGCTTATTTTGTATGTTTTCAGCGTCCCAGTGACGACAGCATTAACGGGATGTTGACTGGATATCGGCTGTATTATAGAGAGCTCCCAGTAAACACCTCCACTTTCACTGAAGCAGAAGTCCAGGCAACCAAAAACAACACCACAAGTGCCCTCATTACAAGTGAGTAGTAACTTACATTCATTGTTCGATAACCCTTAGTTACAGTTGCTATGCCTGTCAGACTGTCCTAATCCAGCAAGTATGCAGATAAATGATAAAATCAAATGGGTGGATGTGAAAAATGTAAATTGTGGTTTAGTTTACGATGTGTTTCTTGGTCTTGTAAATAACGTGTGGTTACTATTGTCGATAGTAAGCTAGTTAGCCAGGCCTCCTTACAATTGCAGCTTATATTAGAGCAAACAAACACAGTTTACAGACCACTTTAACATGTTAAGAAATCCTAAACTCGACCGGTCTTCCGTGCGTAGTTACGATAGCTAATCTATGATTGGACAATCGCTGTTCTGGGAAGTGGTTTAGGATTCTAGGGAGCTGTATTTCCATAATCAACAAAGTGATTTAGTGCTACTTAATTGAAATAATGGATTTTAAAGTAAAAGTATGTCAATGAAAGTTTCTGTATTACGTGAAATCACAAAATGAACAATAATTGAGAGGATCAGAGGGAGTAAACCATTTGCCTTGTAACAGTAAAAGTACATTGATAATGTCTGTAAAAGGTTCACAACCTGACAGTCACACCTTAGTGTATAAAAAATAGTTTTTTGGTTCATGCTACAGTGCAAGGCCAGCATTTTCCATGTAGCCCAGTTTGCAGCGTTTCTGAAAAAACTGTTATTCGGAGATCTGAGAAGAAAAAAGATGTGGCGATGATGAGGGATGAGCTGACGGAGCAAATGGCCCCTCACCAAAATGTTGTTTTCTTATGAGGCCAAACATCTTGCACTACAATTCAGCAATATTAAAATGTTATTATTCACTGTACAGCCTGAAGTGCTTCATGCATGTAGTAGATTAAGTATCTGCTCGACTACATTGGACAATTCTCTTTCCATCCAATGTCCGCTGAGTCTGACAATGGTATTGACGTTTTTCCTCTTAAACACAGTCATTTTTTTTGAATGGCATTATAATTGCACAGTTTATTGTACAACTTGAAACATGTATTGATTTACTCTCCCCCCATCTTTCACTCATTCTTCCCAAGCCAAGAGCACCTTCAAGACAGTCAGCAGTGCCTCACTAACAGAGTTTGAGTTGACACGTAAGTAATTTAAGACGGAACTGGGGAGTAAAGCTCCTGGGTTCTTTATGTTTCCGATTTTTTTTTGTAAATTTGTTATGCAGCCAGCTTCTAGAATAAGGACAAGTGGCAATGAGAACTAACATATGGGTTTTGCATGCGTGTTGTAAAAATGTAAATGTCATTTTTTTTATTTCTTTGTAGAACTAAAGAAGTTCAAACGCTACCAGATTGTTATGACAAGCTACAATATCATTGGAGAGAGCCCACCCTCCGCTCCAGTTGAGGTGTCTGTTGGAGAGGCAGGTAGGTGGAAACTGAACTGTGATCTACACGTCTTCTTTTATGAATGCCAGAAAAGCAGGTTTATTGTTGAATGTTGTTTTTTCAAGCTTCTTCTCTTCCCTGTGTTATTTAGTTTGTTGTTAGCAGGTTGCATTATGGGTAAAGGAACATTTAGTTAGGAGCTGAGCCTTTAGATTGTCGAATGTGGGGCATAAAGCTTCTTTTTCTTCTTTTAACTTATACTTCATTCTCAATATATCATTGTTAAACATGAAAGCACATTCTTGACCTTGGAAATAGTATTTTAACAGACCACTCCCATCTCATGGTCCACTTACTTCCTTCTTCCTGAGCTTTCAACCTTATCATACAGTATTTATCAGCAGATGGAGTTTGTGAGCTCAGTAACTGTCATGATTTCATCCATAGCGCATCATCTGTTTTTGAAGACTGTGACATGGTTGAAATCCCTGGAAGAAGGGGACCTTGAGATGGGATTGTTTTGTCTGATTTCTGTCACTTTTGTCCTTCTCGGTGCTCTTGTCGCTTCTCTTCTCTTTCTTGTTTTGTCCTGTTCACACTTCTTGTCCTGCTCTTGTTGCCCCTTGAGTGACATTGCCTTTGAGAGGCTCACTTGTATTCCCTAATAGTGTATGTGTGTGTCTGTGTCTGTGTGTGTTTGCGTGTGTGACATCTGAATGTCGGCAAGAAATGCAAAGGTTATCTATTTTGTAGTGATGGCCCAATCCCTGTTTAGCTTTCACTTGAGAGTCAAACCCTGGATCCATTAGACAGACGAGTGCAAATATATCTCACTCACACACTCTCATGCACACACACACACACACACACACACACACACGTCTACCACAAGGCAGATGAACACACAAACAAGAATGAAGGTGAACAGATTTGCATGTTATGATCGTAGCACCCACACGCAAATTCTGCAGTTTCTCTCACAATCTCACACTCCCTCCATCAGACCAAAGCTGCATTCATATTCAAGGCGTGTGTGTAGTGTGTGTGCGTGTAGGTCATACATATCACATGCAGAGGAGTGAGAGGTGAGGATAAGCATGGAAGGTGGGAGGGGGATGCAGAAAAGGCTGGAGGGGGATGATGAAATGGGGTGATATGGCCTTTTCTCTAGCCTCAAGTGCGCACTGCTGAGTGTTCATGCATATGTGTGGTACAGTGGAGTAACAAGGTACTGCCTTAGGCCCATTCTAATAGGAAAGGTAGAACATATCTTCCCTACTTCCCACTCTTGCACCCAGCTGTGCACACACACATACACACACACTCACACACATACAGCAGCAGTCTAACAAAAGACCTCTCCTTCTGCAGCCCCGTCAGTGGCCCCTCAGTCTATCAGAGTGTCAGCTGTGTCTCCCTCCATCCTGGAAGTGACCTGGGACACACCCCCCCTCGAGACCCAGAATGGACTCATCCAAGGATACAAGGTGACGCACACGAAACGCAAACAAACACAAATACAAAGAAAGAATTCCTTATGGCAGACAGATACAAGACAACAAAAGAGCCAAACACACACAGATGAGTACTATACTAATAGTATTAGTGTCTGTGTGATAGAAAAGCACACAGCGCTGTTTCTGTCTGTATTTAAAATGCCTCTCCTCTTGTCTTGGAGGGGTTTTGCTCGGCCGCACCTTCAAGTGTCCTATAGAAAAGAGAGCAAGAGAGAGAATTGAGTCAGAGGAAGAATCTGAATATCCTTTAATGGTTTCAATATCAGTCCTCTGCGTGTCTCTCCCCCTCAACTCCCCTGTCCCACCCCCTCACTCTTAGTACTTCAAACACAAGGTTATCTGTCCTGCTTTAGACACATTGATTTCTGCTGGAGTAGAGAGAGGGTATGGAGAAGAAAGAAGGGAATGTAATATTTGCAGAGTGAAGGAATGAGATGAGCAAGTGATCCCTGTAGAATCCTGATTAGAGAAGAGGATCGAGGGAATACGTTCAAACTACCAGTGACGGATGGACGCAGGAATGCGAGGCAGTGGAGGTTAACGAGATTAAGACGGGAGAAATAGAGCAAAGAAAGAATGTTTAATGAATTTATAGGTTCTGACTCCTGTTAACACTCCTACTTATATGAGCAGCACAGACGGCAGGTAGGACTGAAGTTAACTTCAAGTGGGCAGGTGTATTTCTGGACAGTTGAAGCTCACTGAAATGCTTTATTAGACACACTGGCTAATGTGTAAATGGTAATACCAAACAATGGTAGTCCTGTCAAGTAGAATTTCTCACACAAAGCAGGTGTAAAAGGTTAATTTGGGAAGAATTGGAACAAATCAGCCATTTTTATTTTGAGTGAAACACTCCACAACTGCAGATTTAGTTTGTCGCATCAATTTTTACTTATATACTTTTCAACTTAAAGACACTAGCAACATCCATCATGCTATTCCTACCAAAATAGGTCAGTCATTTCTAATAGAAACTGCTACAGACACAAACAAAACCCTAAAATTGCTTAAAATTTTTACTCCTTTGCAAAACAAACATTCAGCTACGGTTTTTCATCAAGGCTGAAGATACTAAATCAACTCTTTTACAAAAGAGATTGTTGGGAAATCCATTTAAGGTTCTTGATCTTATCAAATCAGATCATAATCATGTTCACGACAACTTCAAATGTTTTTTTTTAAAACTAATCCTGATGGTCTCACATTCTTAACATATACCAGAATAGATCCTCTAAACAACAGTGGAATGTGTTGCCAAATGGCCTGGACATTTAACTAAACCAAGTGTTTCACAAGTGATGTTGCCTCAATAGAAATACCCTTTTCAAGCAATTTAATACATTTTGATTTTGAAATTGAGTATATGGTTGAGTTAGTCTGTATCTCATTATTGTAAGAGGGTGTGGAAGGACAGAGATGGTATAATGCTGCCCTCAAGTGCTGCTCATAAGCTGCTACTTCCATGTTTAGAAGGTGTAAATATAGTTTATGGTGCTTTGTAGTGCTTCCTGGTCGAAATACTAACAAAATGAACCCCTTTACAAAGTGTTGCTCCTAGCTGTTGTTTTATTTTAAAAACCACACTGTACACAGACGGCACAACACTGTTGAATAGAAGTATCACCAAACATTTATACAAAGAAAAAACATAACACTGAATCCTATTTACTTGAATTATTACCAAATAAAAACATTAATATAAATACATCAGCCACAGATCTAAATACTAAAACCATTTTTAAAATGTCCCTGTTAAGTGTTGGGTATCATTAAAGATGTCAGTGTATGTATTGCCTTGTTGGTACACACGTAGGACATCGTACAGCAATAGCAAGAAAACTAAGCAGCAACATTATACTGCTGTGTGTTGTTGTTGGCTGACAAGACACTGATGCCAGTATATATATATGATAATATATCATATCAATATCTGTCAGTTTCTCACTTTGTATTGATCTTGATGGTCCGCATATCAACTGACACACACACAAAACTGCCGGCAGACAAAATGTCCAATGCATACGCGCTCATAAAAGCCACAGTTTCAAGATCTGATTACAGTTTGAATGAGCAGAGGAGCCATATGTAGTATGATTAGGTACACAGATGCTTGTCAGGGAAAACACCAGTATACTGTCAGTGAACATGTTCAGATCTAAAACTCAGATATTTGTTCGTTTTTCTGTAAATTTGCACTTAAAGCTAAAACATACAATAAATTAACCAGCATGTGAATAAGTATTTGTAACAGCTGCTGTGGGTATTTTCTCACTCTAAAGCCTCTCGTGTGTACAAGATACTTCTGATTCATTTCTAATGCATGAGGCTCAACCACCTCTGTAACCTTGCTGTTAGTGTGTATCTGATACGGCTGTATGTGTTGGGAAAGCTAAGGCAGTTCCCTTGTCAAACCAAACCTTTTTGCTGGGCTCTCAGCTGCTGTGCAAGACATTTAGACAATAATAGATGAAAATATTTCCTCTACATTCAGCTGGGATTAAACGACATGCAGTGATTTGTAAAAGTATAGATTTAAAGCAAGTACCTGTAGGTTTAAAGATTATTACAGTGGATATGCACCTTTCTAGTACCATTAAGAGCGGGAGGCAAGCTGTTTTAATGCATCAAACTGATTTTGTTACTGGATATGCATTTATATTGGCTGTTTACTGGCAGTAAGATATCAAGTATATTGCTTATCTTTTTTTCACTCATTAAATACAACCTGTTTCATTAAAAGTATGTGACCTAGGCTACAATAAAAAAGTCACACAGGATTTTCTAAAATACTTTGTTTTTTCAAAGTCACTTAAGTAATACATTTCTCAAAGCACCATAGTTATATGAAACTTAACCAAAAGTGATAAATTGGTCTGTCTAAGGCAGAGAAATAGTATTCCGCATTGATAACTAAGACAGAGTCTGAACTTTAAACCTACTTCATCATAGCTTTGAATATGCTTTATTGAAAGAAGCCATTTTTGGCATCATTAAATTATTACAAGGTCTTAATATTGATCTCATCATACTGGGTACAATAACCAGGGGACCTTTGTTCTATTTAAGCTTGCAAGGATTGACCAAAGTATCCCCTGTGTCTTCATTACTGGCCAATGTCATGAAAGTTAATGGTCATGTGCATAATTATTGGTTCCACATGAGGCAGGGTGTGGCATTAAGGCCTATATAACAGGTCTTAAAATGCTGCACACATGGACAACATTGTATATTTCTGATTGTTTGATTACTTGAAGTGGATCAAATGAGCAAATATCATGTTGTATGATTGCAGAGTTGGTCGTGTTAGGTTTAAAAATATTGTGCTTTGATAATATAGAATTATATACACAAAAATGTAGGTGTATTTACCTTGATTGACTGACTATAGCTGCTATAAGGCAGTCATTTACAAGTTGGAAACTAGTAATTACTGCTCTGATAAAACATCAACATGGCATTTAGCTTGTATCTGCCATTTTATGTCACTGAACATATGATAAAACTATGTATTGGTGGTCTGAAGTCTAAAGTAGGTGTGAGAGAAGGAAAACTCTTGTCCTTCGCTATATCTTTGCAAAAAGTATTATATGTACATCTAGACCAGACCAGTGGTATCTGCGATAAGAAATTATACCTACTTTAGCCTTCTGTTAAACTGTCAACACCAAAACAAATCTCTCCATAACCAACTTCTCCTCCTTGTAAAACTGCACATGAGCACTCTATATTATACGGATCGATTGGGAGACCTCAGTAGGTAAGGACAGAAAGTAAATAATATATATTTATCTGGCAGAAATGATGTGAGGAAGAGGAGAAAACTGAGGCAGTGCAGGTTGTTAGGCGAAAAAACAGAGCCAGCATTGTTGACAGTGTGTTTTTTCCTGTGTTGCAGATCCACTACTGGGAGAGGGACAAGCAGAACCAGAGTGAGAAGGTCCAAGTGATATTTGTCCCGGACACCCGTGTGCATCTCACCAACCTGACCAGCTACACCCCTTACCTGGTCACTCTGACTGCCTTCAACACAGCTGGAGACGGCCCACCCAGTGACCCCCGCGGTGCCCGCACCCTGCAGTCTGGTAGGGAGTGGTGCCAGTTCGGTTCCCTAAAATAACATTAACAAGCATTATATTATAGCCTTTTTGATTTCCTTTATTCATCTTACTTAATTTATAATCCTCCATGTGTCCCACAGCTCCCAGCCAACCCAGCTACCTGTCCTTCTCAGAGGTGACGGGAGGAAGTGTCAATGTGTCCTGGGGACCTCCACTCACTCCTAACGGACAGCTGGAGGGCTACAGGGTCATCTACGAGCCCACTGCTCCTGTACAAGGTGAGCACACAGATGATTTATACACAAACACACACAAATACACGTTGGGGAGGACGCTGACGTTTCTTTTTAAATTGTCTGTGTGAGAGCAGGAGTGAGTAAAGTGGTCACAGTGGATGTGAGGGGCAACTGGCAGCGATGGCTGAAGGTTCGAGACCTGGTCAAAGGAGCCACATACACGTTCAGTATTCAGGCTCTCACGGTCAGCTATGGACCACCCATACAAGCAAACATCACTGCTCAGCCTGTGCAAGGTAGGCATGGCTGGAACTCTGTGTATGTGTGTGTGTGTGTGTGTTGGTGTCTCTACTTCACTCAATTACGTTTTCTCGATTAATTAATTAACTAAATTGTTTTGTCCACTGGTTCTCAAACTATGGTATGTGTACTACTTTTGATACCTAAGCTGCCTCTTGTGGTACGTGGAGGAATTTTTTAAAAACTACATACATTTAACAAACATAATACCGTCAGAATATTACAAAATTTCTAATGATAATAACTAAACTATGACGTCGCTGAAATGTAATTTGAATTAAGTTTTGCATTTCCTGTAATATTTTGTTTCACTATCAGCCTGCCACTTAGTCACTTTCATGAACCTAGGACACACATAATGATGAAGATGAGTAACAAGTTTAAATGGGATGGCAAAATAGTAAGCAAACGTAAAATGAATGGTTCAAAACCACTGCAGTCGTGGCTCCAGACAGGAACTATTGAGAAGAGAAGTGTGGACCAGGAGTACTTCTTTTTCATCAAATTACCTCTGGTTCTTTAACTTTAAATAATCTTGTTATTAAGAATACACCTACCTCCTGAGTGAACTGTCCGTAGCGGAACAGGGTTGGCCTTGAGTTGGCCTTGGTGCTTAGCGGTGCTTGGAGAGCCTAATATTTTCTGAGGTGGTACACAGTGTAAAAAGACAGAGAAACACTGGTTTAGTCCATAAAATGTAACAAGAAATAATGAAAATGTCCAATTCCTAAGAGCCCAAGGTCACATCTTCTGATGTCTTGCCTTGTCTGACCAACAGCACAAAACCCAAAGGTGTGGTTAGAAACTACCAAATAGTTTTGCTTGAAAAACGATAGAATAGTCACTGATTTCTTTCAATAGACTAATCGATAAAACGACTAATTCAACTCAAATCTTTACAGCTATAAAGGGTGAAGACTTGGTTTAGAATTAGGTTTAGGGTAATGGTAGGTTAAGGGTTGGGGTTAGGCATGTGCTATTATGTCCTCAGACACGTGTAATTCATGTAAATTTGAGCATAAAATTATCATAGCTCATTATTTAAAGGCGCAGACAAGAAAGCATTATGTACATGTTGTTGCACTTACGTCAATAAACTAACAAACTAACCAGCAATTATGGTAAAGGTCAGGACAGGAAATTAATGTACGTGGAGACAGTGTCCTCCTAAGTGACAAAAAAAAAACAAGTGTGTGTTTGTCCCTCACACACTACAGGCTCCCCTGGGTCACCTTTGGAAATGTCCATCACCAAGACATCCTCTGAGCTCACCATCCACTGGTCAGAGGGAGAAATGGGGGCAGCGCCTGTCTCCGGATACGTTATCGAGGCTCGTCCCTCAGGTGAGCTCACAAAGGCCAAACACACAATCGACCACTCACTTGCGTCTTTCCATCAGTTCTTTTCATTTGTCAGGAAGGGTTAAGCACTGCCTTGGACTGAACCTTACTGAGTGCACCAGATTAATTAAGACCTGCTGTGCAAATCAAGTCAGCAGCAATTTTCTCATAAAGATTACTAGAGGTGTAATAGGGAGAGAGAAACATCTGTGGGAAGCTGTTAGAGCACTACAGGACAGACTGTAGACTCTGGTATTAGTCTACCACTCATTGTAACGGTAATACCCGTTTCATTAATAGTAATAACAGTAATCATCGTCATCACCATTGTCATTAATTAAATGTAATTTGACAACATTCTGACATTTGAAAGGAAATAATTCTTAAATGAAGCGCTCTCTCTCGTATTTGTCTGCCCGTCCATCAAACTGTGATGCAACCTCTCTCTCTCTCTCTCTCTCTCTCTTTCGCTCTCTCTCTCGCTCTAGCTTTCTCTCTCTTAATTCAATTCAGCAGTAAAAAGAAAAAAAAAAAAACATTAGAATTCATAAAATCAAGAAAATATCAGAATGAATGAGTGAGTGCACACCTTTGCGTGTGTTAGTTGTGTGTCTTTAGGTGTGTGTGTGTGTGTGTGTGTGTGGGTGTGTGTGCGTAACTTTTGTTTGTGTGTGTGTGTGTGACTCTTGTTTCTGTGTGTTGAAGTTGTGTGTGTTACAGTTGGTGTGTGTGTGCTTTATACTAGCAAAATATAATCACTCGATTTCTTTACAGATGTACCATCTGTATAAATATAAATAATAACAATTCAATGAACAACATTTATTAATGTCAATTAATTAATTTCTCTCTCTCTGAAGATGAAGGAGTGTGGGATTCGTTCATCAGACTGCTCCCTCCCAGCAGCCGGTCTGTTTCAGTGCCGCTGGAGCGCCTGAGGTCGGGGATCAGCTACGAGTTCAGAGTCATCGCTGTTAATCGCTATGGTTACGGACAGCCGAGTACACCCTCTGCTGCTCTCGCTGGTAAACACACACACACACACGCACACACACACACACACACACACAGACACTGGGATAATGAACAAATCCAGGGTGATCCAACTTGTGTGATTGGGGTTGTGACTGAACTTCTAGTGAGTTGGACACACAGTAGGAAGTTACTCTGGTGGTTTTGTGCTTTTGTGTCTGCTGCCATCTAGAGGCAGAGTCGCGCAACAACAACTGTGCTTATTGTGGAAATTTGAGGCAATTATCAAAATTTTAGTTTCCAATCTGTAGCACTATACCAAATTCACACTTCCAGTCATATCAACTTGTTTGAAGAACCCACAGGGGTGAGTTTTATGACAATAAGACAACACAGTGTGTAATTTCTCTAAAAGTATAATTTACAGAACTTCAGGATTGTTCTCTGGTCTGTCCTGTGGGACACACCACAGCTCTGATTCAAACTAAAGTTGATATCTCCCTCGTATGTGTCCCCCCTCTCTCCCTCCTGTCCGGTCCTCTTCCTGTCTGCAGCGCTGTCGGAGCGTCCCTTCTATGAGGAGTGGTGGTTCTTGCTGGTCATGGCTCTGGTGGGAATCATCCTCATCCTGGTCCTGGTCTTCACACTGCTGCTGCACGGACACAGCACCAAGTACAAGGCCTGTGGCACAGGTACGTGTCTCAGTGGTCATGCTCGAATGTAATGCTGTATAGGCGGGCCATTCAGTTGTGTGGAAATGTGTTTTTGTTCAGTTTGAGGAGGAGTTTTTTTCTCTCTCCTCAGTCACACATTGTTCCACTCACTGTCAACAAGCTCACCACATGTACCCTCCACTGATTTATTACATTGTACACCACTTTTTCTGATTCTGAAAAGTTGAGACATGCATCAGTTTGCTTGTACTCTTTGTAGAGCGAAATTGCCTGTAGCAGTCTTGTTCCTGCAGGACCACCGCCACCTGTGAGGCTGTATGAGAGAGGAAAACAAGGTCAGCCTTGTTCCTTTACCAGTATGATTCAGGGCAAACCGCTCCCTGAGGCATCTCAACAGAAATTATCTCCCTGAAGCCCCGCTGTAATTTCTGTAGGTTTTTGAACATCGCTTTAGGTTAATGCTGAAAATAAGCTTTTTAATTAACACAAGTCTTTAGTATTAATTTAGGTTATGCTAGCTAATTAAAAAATGTACAACGTGCAAACTGTAACTTACATTAAACTAGACTGGCTAATTCAAAGTTAGATGTCATTTAATTGGAATGAGTTTAATGAGTTTGAGTTTAATTTTCAAGACTCAAGGTCCACACCAAGAATAATAACTATAACA